TCACAAACTGTGAGATCATGACCTGGGCCGAAATCAAGAGTCAGATGCTTAAGTGACTGAGCCACCCAGGTGCCCCAACATTTTTAAAAAAACCTTCCATTGCACCCTGTAAGTGATTGAACTGATAATCATTCATTGACCCACCTGGAAGATTACAGTCCATTTTCAACAATGTTAACCAACATTCCAGGGTCCAGATCCTGTTTCTATAGCCATCTCTGTGATTTTTTTTTTTTTTTTTCTGAACCCTCTTCCAACATGGGAGGCCAAAGTGAGGCTCATCCATTCTCTTTCAAAAAGTCCCCAACAATTTAACTCCTCAAACTCTTCCAGAGCAACAGCTAAAGGCCAAACACTGTCCTGGAAGCTGGGGAGGAAGAGATCAGTGGGTCAGGGTTTCTGTCAGTGGACTAGTGGGGAGACTGATAAGTAAATCAACCGATGATTCCAATACTTGGTGGGAAGCTCAGTGTAGAGGTGTGTGCACAAAAGAAGGTCCCTTCAGGGGACGCCTGGGTGGCTCAGTTGGTTGAGCGTCTGACTTCGGCTCAGATCATGATCTCGCGGTTCGTGAGTTCGAGCCTCGCGTCGGGCTCTGTGCTGACAGCTCAGAGCCTGGAGCTTGCTCCGGATTCTGTGTCCCCCTCTCTCTCTCTCTGTCCCACACCGCTTGTGCTCTGTCTCTGTCTTTCAAAAATGAATAAACATATTAAAAAAAATTAAAAAAAAAAATAAGTTCCCTTCAGTTTGTATGGAAAATGGTTAGGGAAAGTCTCCCAGAAGAAACATCATCTGCTTGGGTTAGGCCTCCTCCAAGGAGAGCCTGAAAGGAGAAATCTTGGACAAGTGATTTATTTATTTATTATTTTTTTAATTTTATGTTTAGAGTGTGGGATTTTTTAAAAAATTTTTAATGTTTATTTTTGAGAGAGAGAAAGAGATAGAGACAGAGCACGAGTGGGAGAGGGGCAGAGAGAAAAGGAGACAGAGTCCAAAGCAGGCTGCAGGCTCTGAGCTGTCAGCACGGCCAGTGCCTGATGCTGGACTCGAACCCACGAACCACGAGATCATGACCTGAGCTGAAGTCAGACACCGAACCGACTGAGCCACCCAGGAGCCCCATTGGACAAGTGATTTATTGAAGGAGATCAGAAAAATTCTGTGAAGAAATTAGGGAAGCATGACAGAGCAGGGGGAGCAGGTAGGCAGAGATGTGATTTCAGCGGTGGAGTCTAGCCTTAGTTTGATCCCAAGGGTGTATCTGGAAGGTAGTGTCAATTGCACCAGAGTTGCCCTTCATGGAGTCGAAGAGGCCAGACTTCTGTACTCCTTATCCGTCAGTCGTGGGCTATAGGCTGCTCCCCGGGAGGAGGGTGCCTAACATCCTGCATAATTCTGGGAGAAGGAGCTCCTGCTGGCTGCGGGTGAATCTGTGGGAAGGGATGTAGCTTTCAGCAGCCGGGATGAGTGTACCTGCCCGACTAACAGGGATCTTGGTGGGGTGCGGGCAGCCTCCACTACAACACCTGAACTGACCCCTGAAAGAGGAGAGCACTCAAAGTTAACTATAGGGAATATACGGGATGGGCAATGATAGGGCATTTCAGGGCAAACTTACAGAGGGAAGAGAGAACACAATGAGTCTAGAAAGGACAGAGGTTTGGTGGCTGTCTTAGCTCAGGCTGCTATAACAAAATAGCCACAAACTGAGGGGCTTGTAAACAACAGACATCTATTTCTCACAGTTCTGGAGGTCAGAAGTCAGAGATCAGTCCAGTATGGTCAGGTTCTTGTGAGACCCCTCTTCCGGGGTTGTAGACTGCTGTTTTCTTGTTGTAGCCCCACGTGGAAGAAAGAGGGCAAGAGAGCCCTCTTGCCTACTACCTGTAGTAGTAATTACACTACTATTCACATTCCAACCCCCCCCCCCCCCACCGCCTCCCCACTTCTGCCATCACACTGGGGGTTAGGATTTCAACATACAAATTGGGGCAGGGGCACAAACATTCAGCCCATTGCACCATAAATGGAACACTGGATTTAAAAAGCAGGGAGTGTACGGGAGCCTGGGTGGCTTCGTCGTTTAAGCCTTCGACTTTGGCTCAGGTCATGATCTTCTGGTTCTTGAGTTCAAGCTCCGCATCAGGCTCTGCACTGATAGTGCAGAACATGCTTGGGGCTCTCTCTTCCTCTCTCTCTGCCCCTCGTGCAGTTTCTCTCTCTCTCAAAGTAAATAGATTAGAACTTAAAAAAATAGGAGTGCCTGGGTGGCTCCATCGGCTAAGTGGACGACTTCGGCTCAGGTCATGATCTCATGGTTCATGAGTTCGAGTCCCACATCAGGCTCTATGCTAACAGCTCAGAGCCTGGAACCTGCTTCAGATTCTGTCTCCCTCTCTCTTTGCTCCTCCCCTCCTTGTGCTCTGTCTCCCTCTCAAATATAAATAAACATTAAAAAAAAACTTAAAAAAATGAAAATGAATAAAAAATAAAAAGAAGGGCATGTGTGCAAACACCAGCCAATAAGAGTGGGCAAGAACCCCTTCCCCATCTTCAGTATTTAATGTCTACTTTTCTCCCGCCTCCAAGGAGACTGGAGATACAGACACTGGGGAAACTGAGCAGAGGATGGAAGAGGTGTAGACAGAAGGATTACCAGTGTTAAGTTATGTGACATTTGAGTGGCTCCAGTTCACAAGGTTGTCTGTTCCTCCCCCAGTAGTAGGAGATACTCATCGACTCTTCTGAGGCCCAGTTCTTTGAAGAGGCATTTAATTTGTTCACCTGCAGTCAACACCCGAGAAGCCCAAAGACAGTCATTCATACTCTGTGATTGTTTGCACGGCCCGTCACTCTCATCTGAGGCAGCTAGCTGGTTCTGGCCCTGAATCCATCTTCCTCTCGCCAAGCTCATTCATCAGGACCTTGAGTTCTGCCTGGTGTTCACAAATTGATAAATTGGTGTTTTGTTCTGTTTTGCTCCTTTCTTGAGAAGTTATTTCCCTTTGAAAAGTTTCCACCCATGAGAGACGATACTTGTTTTGGTATGTGATTACCTAAATCTTGTATAAATGCATTGATGAAATTGCTTGAACCAAGAATCTACCCTGAACCTAACTCTTAAAGGTGTCAAAAGATTATAAAAGGCTTTTGTTGAGATAGTGTACACCCAGACATGATTGGATGGTTGGCAAATGCAAACTTACAAAATGGCAGCCAGCTCCACAGATGTCTTATGTGAGCAATATTCCTTCCTCGCTTTTCTAATAACCAAAATAATTTTTTGGATCCTCAGGAACTGGTCTGATTTTCATTTCCACTTCACTGGCACTCCCGTGTACTTTCCGGGTTTTTGTATTCATCTATTCATTCCATAAATCCATAAAGCAAATCGTTTAAAAAATACTTATATATCACAATTGGGACAGTTTTTTGTTTTTTTTTTTTTTAATTTTTTTTTCAACGTTTATTTATTTTTGGGACAGAGAGAGACAGAGCATGAACGGGGGAGGGGCAGAGAGAGAGGGAGACACAGAATCGGAAACAGGCTCCAGGCTCTGAGCCATCAGCCCAGAGCCCGACACGGGGCTCGAACTCACCGTTCGCGAGATCGTGACCTGGCTGAAGTCGGACGCTTAACCGACTGCGCCACCCAGGCGCCCCACAATTGGGACAGTTTTAAGAAATAAAAACACAGTGATGTTCTGATTGTCTATTGCGGCATAACAAATCATCCCAAAGCTTAGCCTTAAAACAATGACGATGGACTGCATCATCTTGGCGGACTGCATCATCTCGGCCCTAGTTCGCATTGGCTGGGGTGGCTCCAAAGCTGGGAACTGGAATCATCTGAAGGAAAATGCACTCAACTGTCTGAAAGTTCATGACGGCTATCTGCTGGGACCTCGGCAGGGGCTATCAGATGGAACACATACGCATGGCCTCTCCATGTGGCCTGGGCTTTCCTGAAATATGGTGGCTGAGTTTCTAGGGTGTGTGAGAGAGAGCAGAATAGAAGCCATATTATATCACGCACCACTTACCCAAACAGTTACAAAAGCTCATCCATTTTCAAGAGGAATGGATATAGACTTCTTGACAGGAAGAGTGTCAAAGAATCTTCAGGCATATTTTAGAATCAATATAGCTAAGATGACCATATAATTCACTGTCCAATGCAAGACGTTTTGAGAGCAAAAGCGGGTGCTTTTCAAGCATGAATAAAACTCTCCTTGGTAAACCAAGACAGGTCACCTCTACTACAACACTCTCACGAAGCTCTCATAAATCCCTTTGCTTCTAACATTCACTGTGTCATTTTAAAACATACTCTTTACTAATTGAAATTTGTGTTTTAAAATCTATTTTTTGATAATTTCTTGTTTCTAAATCACAACTATTACCTTCAGGTTGCTTGTTCATGATGAATCTGGAGCTTGATGGTTACAAATCTTGTCCCACTACATCCTTCCTGCTAATTGGGACAGCTTCTGGCACTGTGGATAGAAGTGCTTGGAATGCCTTCTCTCTCAGATGAGAGAAACCCAAGCAGTGGAAGAATCTGCTTCAAGAAATGCTTTTTTAAAAACCTCATTTTTTGGCTAAGTGGTAAAAAAAACACAGTGATGACTCATCAGTTGAAATCAGATCCTTCATCCCAAAAAAGTGTTTTTATAAGAAGTGGGTGTTTTTTTTTTTTTCTTTCCCCAAAGGCAGTCTGCATAATATTTGGTGCTTCTCTTTTCTGAGTCATACATTCCATCTCAGTGGAAAGTGACAGTTGCAGACTTGAGCCAATAACATTTTATTTTCAGAGCTGTGCACGACGCCCCCTTATCCAGGGATCTGCGTTTGCCTTCATCCCTGAGAGGAGTTCAGGCACGGACCATTCCACACCGACAGTCTCCCTTTCCCCCCTTCTCTTGGCCAGTTATTAACCTGTTTTTCTAAAGACCCTGGAGCAGAATAAATGCCTAGAGAGAGCATTCAGAAACAGCACCTAGTTGTAAATAAGCATGGCAAGTTTATTGTCCTTCTAGAGGCAACCACAGTCAAACATTGTCAATCTCTGTCTCACAATCCTGGGTCTCCACGCAGGAGCCTTTATTCACAACCTCCCCCCCGCCACCCCGAAAACATTTTCTTTCTGTTGTTTCTTTCTTGTGACTCTGCAACTCTGTGTCGTTACTGAAAGAAAGTGATGTGATTCATTTCTGATCCGTGAAAGCAAACATCCCATCCAGTTCAGTTTGTCTTCTTGGAAGCCTCCACAAATACCTCCTTGCTAGAAAACAAAAATGTAAAACTTGTATCCATTTCTGTTCCAGAATGAAAGACCCAGGAAACTTTTATGAGTCTGGAGCTAAGGCCTGAGCTTCACAAATTAAGAAGGTATTTAAGAGAGCTTCAATGAGAACATTAAGACTAGGAAACCTGAGGGGAAAGAGTTAAAAGAACCAGCAGGGATTGGGAACAGCAGCATCCAACAGCTGCCTGGATGGCAAGTGGGACTGGACTTAGGGTGACCGATTGTCCCAGTTTACCTGGAATGAGGGGGTTCCTGGGATGTGGGACTTTCAATTTTTTAATCCAGGAAGTTCTGGGAATACCGGGACAAATTTGCCACCCTGACCGGAGCTCTCTTTCCTAATCAGAAGCTACCCCCACTGTTGTGCCGCAAAGAGCCAGGTTCTGCTCTGGAAAGGTAGGAAGGGGCAAAGATGATCCCAGGCCAGGAACTGGAAGGGAAAGAACAAAGCCAGAGGCAGAGACTGTCATTTAGACTTCCAGGTTCAGTGTGCTAAGTAAGGGATGTTTGGGATAAGAAAGGGGCGGTGGTGGGGCGCGTGGGTGGCTCAGTCAATTGAGCCTCCGACTCTAGATTTTGACTCGGATCATGGTCTCACGGATCATGGTCTCCATACTGCCAGTGGGATTCTCTCTCTCTTCCTCCCTCTGCCCCTCCCCAGTGCTCTCTCTCTCTCTCTCTCTGTGTCTCTCTCTGTCTGTGTCTCTCTCAAAGTAAATAAACAAACTTACAAAATTAAGCAACACAACAAAGGTGCAGTGATGAGAGTGAACAATCCTGTTAATGGCTCAAAAGCACCGGGCAGAACTCCACCCTGTAAGAAAAGGATCACTCAATTAGGTAAAATGAACAGATTCCACCCGGGCTTTTAAACTCCCTTCCACGCAGCCTTCCAAGAGTCCTTGTGAATTAGGGGTAGTCAGGCTCTAGCCAAATCCCGGGGCTCCGCTCCTGTTCCTCCCACACGCTGTGGACCCTCCCTCTCCATTCATCCCCAGAGGCTGTGCATTCGTTATTCAAAGCTCCCTTTCTTGTGCTCACAGGCCCTCTGCACCCCACGCGGCTGGAAGCCAGGAGCACAACCCAGCTGGGCCCCCCTGCACTGAAGGAACTGGAGAGGCAGTTAATATCATCAGTCATATGGAGTCTCCTCTTTGGTCACTTCTCTCTTCAAGAAAAACAATATCGGGGGGCGCCTGGGTGGCGCAGTCGGTTAAGCGTCCGACTTCAGCCAGGTCACGATCTCGCGGTCCGTGAGTTCGAGCCCCGCGTCAGGCTCTGGGCTGATGGCTCGGAGCCTGGAGCCTGTTTCCGATTCTATGTCTCCCTCTCTCTCTGCCCCTCCCCCGTTCATGCTGTGTCTCTCTCTGTCCCAAAAATAAATAAATGTTGAAAAGAAAAATTAAAAAAAAAAAGAAAAGAAAAACAATATCAAAAAGTCAGAAACAAAGCAAAGTAGATACATGACCCCTATTGTCAAGCCTACCTTGGGGTCCTTTGACTTTCTAGTCAAACTTCGTTTGACTTGCTATTTAGTCTTGAGTCAATATTTTATGACTCTCCAAGGTTAGCTATTAATTTGTTGAAAATCATTAAGGTACAAATGGTTTTTATCCAATAGTGATACAAACGATTGTTTTCCTATAGAGAGAAAAGTGGCATCTGTTTGATAGAAACTATAATTCTAAACGTTATGGTTTTATTGCCTTGAAAAAAATAACTAGTTTGTTTCTAACTTAGTGAACTTATTCCATATTTTTCTTGTACTTCCATATATATATTATCTTGTACATCTTATACACCTGGTTCCTTATTAATGAATTAAGATAAAACTGTGAAGGGCACCTGGGTGGCTCAGTCAGTTGGGCATCTGACTTCAACTCAGGTCATGATCTCGTGGTTCATGGGTTTGGGCCATGCATTGGGCTCTGTGCTGGCAGCTCAGAGCCTGGAGCCTGATTTGGATTCTCTGTCTCCTTCTCTCTCTGCCCCTCCCCCACTTGTGCTCTGTCTCTCTCTCTCTCTCTCTCAAAAATAGATAAACATTAAAAAAAAAAACATTATGTAGGTATTTATCCAAGGGACACAGGTATGCTGTTTCGAAGGGACACGTGCACCCCCATGTTTATAGCAGCACTATCAACAGTAGCCAAAGTATGGAAAGAGCCCAAACGTCCATCACTGGATGAATGGATAAAGAAGATGTTGTGTATATATATACACATATATATATATATATATATATATACACACACACACACACACACACACAATGGTGTATTACTTGGCAATGAAAAAGAATGAAATCTTGCCATTTGCAACTACGTGGATGGAACTGGAGGGTATTATGCTAAGCGAAATTAGAGAAAGATAAATATCATATGACTTCACTCATATGAAGACTTTAGGAGACAAAACAGATAAACATAAGGGAAGGGAAGCAAAAATAATATAAAAATAGGGAGGGGGACAAAACATAAGAGACTCTTGAATATGAAGAACAAACAAAGGGTTGCTGGAGGGATGGTGGGAGGGGGGGATGGGCTCAATGGGTAAGGGGTACTAAGCAATCTACTGAAATCATTGTTGCACTATATGCTAACTAATTTGGATGTAAATTTAAAAAAATAAAATTAAAAAAAAGAACATGCATAGCAATGAATTTCTTTGAGAAAGTGCTACCAAAATTACAAGCTGACAGGCTAATCAGGGTGGCTTAAAGCACAAGTTCTATTTTCTGTTTTCATCTTTTTTTTTTTTTTTAGCATGTCTTGTTTTAAGCAATATGGTTCTTAGGTAATTTGACTGAAAGGCTTTCCTTTCCAACATAAAACTAGAAGAGGAAGTTCAAATTAAAAATTATTTCCTTTCTTTGAAAAAGAAAAAAAAGCATCACCATATCACTTGGACACAGCAATTCCACTTCTAGAAGTTTATCCTAATAAAATATGTGCCAAAACGTAAAATAAATAAATACACATTAAAAAAACATTATGTACTCATAATGTATTTTTGTGGGAATTATGGTTTTTTTTAAGCATTTTAATAATTATGCCCTGGGAAGTTCTCCCCACAGCACCTCTATTTTTGGTTCTCCTTGGACCCACAAAAATACAGTCTTAAGTCACGAGTCCTCTTCATCTTTCTGTTCTTCAATCACTGATGACACCCTGGGCCTCCCTCAGGGTTGCGGTAAGGGGCACCTTCAGGTTAAAAAAAAAATTTTTTTTTTAAGGAATTATTCAGTTGCAGAGTTATAGATAATAGGAAAATCAGGATGCTAAGATGTCCAGCAATGGAAAATAAAAAATTGTGGTACATCAACATTAAATATTATGCAGCTATTAAGTATAATCATTGTCAAGACTATTGCAGCAACATGGAAAATGCTGAGGTGAGCTTGTGAGAAGACAGTATTTAAGATAGGAACTGGAAGTTAAGACAAACATGAAAATATCTGTGAGGAGGTGCTCATAGGAAGATTTCTCATCCCCCCCCCCAAATTTTATGTAAGATGTTTTTTGTCCTTTCAATGAAAAAATATTTTTTTAAGAAAATTTAAAACCCAAGCAACCAGGACATCATTATTATGTGATATTATTGATGTCATTAACACCAACATGGTCATAAAACTATCATTTGGAGATTTCACTGAATAACTCTCCTGAAATCTCCCCAAACTTGCCCATTCTACCACTCTTTCACCTCTGAATGCTTAGGAGCTCTAAGGTCACTTTCAACTCAATCATGCTGTGTGACCAGTTCTGGTCACAGGGATGTTAGCAGGGATGTTAGCAGCTCTGCCCACAGACTCTCAGGTCCCCTTTGGGGGCAGTCATGTTCCAGCCCCATATCTACGCTTATGGCACTGTTCTTGGTGCCCAAAACTCTACCCAACTCATCCAAATTCGATTTTGGGTCAGAGCTGCTGAACATGCACCCTCTAGACCCCAAACTGGGACCCAGGACCAAAATCCCTTTTGCCCACCCTGCCTTCCCACAGCTTGGAACATCTATGCCTGGCCATGGAGAGCCCTTCCTGACCATAGATGTGGCATCTGGTTGTCCTTCTGAGGACAGACCTTTCCCTCCCCACCCTCTTGGAGAAAACCACAAAAACAAGACAGGAGCCAGCTGTGTTCCAAGGGGAATATTTTCACCCTACTCCCACTTCATTAAGCTCTTTGGCCCAGGACACAGGCAATGGGACATTTATGAGGCTTCCCAGAGGTACCCATGCAACAGGCCCAACTACCTGCCAGCTCCGACCTCACTTGAAGTTGCTTTTGGTTCTCCGGCAGCTGATGTTTTAAAGCTGGCTCATCTTCTAAGTGCATGTATTTACAAACAGACTGTACTGATGTTCCTTAAAAAACTCCCTCCTTCTGAGTCCTTGACTCAGTCTGTGTTCATTGAGTCAGAGTCATATTTTGTTTGATATGTTGGTGCAATCTTAGCTGTTTTTCAAGCACAGATCCCAAGCATCAGCTTCTGATGGGCAGGGACATAGTTTACATTTCTTGATAGCCCAGGAGCGAACACAGAGCCCTACAAAGAATAAATATCTCTTGGAAAATTGGAAACCACTCAAATGTTCATCAATAGGGAATGGATAAACCAATTATGGTTTCTTTATACAACAAAATGTTATTCAGCTATAGAAAGATGCACTGACACATGCAACAACATGGACAAATCTCAAAAGCATGACATTGAGCAAAAGAAACACACACAAAAGAGCATATATGGTATGATTCCATTTCCATGAAACTCTGGAACCAGCAATGCTACTCTGTGATAGAGGTCTATTATAGACTGAATGTTTGTGTGTCCCGCCCCCCCCCCCCCCACCCAAATTCCTGCGTTGAAGCCTTAATTCCCAGTGTGGCTATATTTGGAGATGGGGCCTCTAAGAAAGAAATCAAGGTTAAATGAGGCTGTAATGGAGAGGCCCTGATCCAATTAGATTAGTGTCTTTCTTTCTTTTTGTTTTTAATGTTTATTTATTTTTGAGAGAGACAGAGTGTTAGCGGGGAAAGAGCAGAGAGAGAGGGAGACACAGAATCTGAAACAGGCTCCAGGCTCTGAGCTGTCAGCACAGAGCCTGACATGGAGCCAGAATCCACAGACCACGAGATCATGACCTGAGCTGAAGTCAGATGCCCAACCGACTGAGCCACCCAGGCGCCCCAAGATTAGTGTCTTTTTAAGAAGGGAGACCACAGTGCTCACATACATACAAAGAACAGGTCATGTGAGGACACAGTGGGAAGGTGGCAATCTACAAACCAGGAAGAGGGCTCTCACCAGGAACTGAATTGGCCGGAACCTTGATCTTGGACTTTGAGGCTCCAGAACTGTGAGAAAATTAATTTATGTTGTTTAAGCCACCCAGTCTATTGTATTTTATTATGGCAGCCCTATGACAAGATGAAAATAGTGGTTACCTCTGGGGTAGTTGGTATTGACTGGAAAAGGACACAAGGGAATTTTCTAGGGTGAAGGAAATGTACATCTTGATAGGGTGGTGGTCACATGGATACTTACATATGTATATGCAAAAAAGCATCGAGCTATACACTTAAGATATGTGTATT